CCACTTATTTATTTTTGTTGCTGCGGCGATTGCTTTGGGGGTCTTCTTCAAGAATTCCTTACCTAGGCCGATGTCTGAAAGGGTCTTCCCAACATTTAATTGAAATTGTGTTGAGTCTATAGATCAGTTTGGGAAGAATTATCATCCTAGTGACACTGACTCCTTTGATGCATAAACATGGTATATTTGTCTATTCATGTAGGTCTTTAATTCTTCTCAATCTTGCTTATTATTTTTAGTAGCTCTTTATAGATTCTGTAGGACTTTTCTGCATAGTCTTATTGTCTGCAAATATAGTTTTACTTCTTCCTTTTCCACCTGTGTGTCTTTCTTTATTTGTATTGCTTTATTGAATTGGCTAGGACCCCAGTGTAGTATTGAATAGAAATAGCGAAACAGACACACTTACCTTGTTCACAGTCTTGAGGGGAAAGCAGTCAGGGTTTCACCATTAAGTAATAAGTTTTCCTTGAATGTCCTCTATCAGATTGAGGAAGTTCCTTTCTATTGCTAGTTTACTGAGATGCTTTGTCTGCATATATTGAGATAATCCATTTGGTTTTTCTACCTTATTCTATTAATATGGTGAATTATTATACATTAATTTTCAAATAATAAATTAACTTTGCCTTTGTTCATGCCATTTCATCCTTTTTATATATTGCTGGAGTCTCTTCCTAATATTTTGTTGTGGATTATTATACCTGTTGTGCAGAATATTGGTCCATTGCTTTCTTTTCCTATAATATCTTTGGTTTTGGTATCAGGGTAAGGCTGGCCTCAAAAAATGTGTTGAAATCTGTTCCTTCTTCTGTTCTCTGGAAGAGTTTGTACTGCCTTGATACTTCTTCTTTATGTATTTGGTGGCATTCACCAGTGAATCTGTATGGACTTGGAGTTTTCTCAGTGGGAAGGATTTTAACAACAAATTTTAATTCTTTAATAGATACAGGTCTACTAAGGTTATCGGTTTCTTATTGAGTGATCTTTGGTAGTTTGTATCTTTTAAGGAATTTATCTGTTTC